TTGTTAACGCTCACGTTTTGAAGGTGAACACATTCGACCGACATCTGTCTGGCTGGGTAAAAATTTACACGAATGAAATAATTTTCTAGCCACATTTAGTCCAAAGTTTCTAATGCTAAAAAAAAATCACTGAAAGCCAACCCAACGTTTCGGGACCGAAACGTCAAGACACTTCGGACTGAAAGTGGCTGATGAAGTTATTTCATTCGTATTGGTGCTGTCCTCGTACAACAACAAAAGGGCACAGAGCGAGTGATGGCGTACGCTAGCCGCACTCTTTCCCGCGCCGAGGTCAACTACTCCACGTCAGAGAAAGAGTGCCTCGCTATTGTATGGGCCACTATGAAATTAGGCCTTACCTTAACGGACGCCACTTCAAGGTAGTGACCGACCATCATTCGTTGTGCTGGTTTGCCAACCTACGGGACCCGTGTGGGCGACTGGCACGATGGAGTCTTCGTCTGCAGGAATACGATTTCACGATCGCTTACAAATCGGGCCGCAAGCACGAAGATGCTGATTCATTATCCCGTGCACCTGTCGAAGTTTGTGGCCACGACACTGAGGATGACGATGGTTTCCTTGGGGCCCTTACTACAACAGATCTGATTACGCGACGGCGTGCGGACGATGAAATTCGCGCAGTTATCGAAAACCTTGAAGGACGCAACTCGTCCATACCTCGATGTATTTCTCGAAGTCTGTCATCGTTCTGTCTGCGAGATGGGGTCCTGTATAAGAAAAACTCCAACGGCAATGAGAGAACCTATCTTCTAGTCGTGCCAACAGACATGCGTGACGACATTCTTTTTGCCTGCCACGATGATCCCACATTAGGTCACTTAGGTTCCTCTAGAACTCTCGCTCGAGTTCGACAAGCATACTACTGGCATAAGCTTTCTGCATCAGTTAAGCAATACGTGAAAAGCTGCCGGGAATGTCAACGCCGCAAATCCCCGCCACTAAAGCCCGCGGGGCTCCTTCAACCAATAGAACCACCCAGAGCGCCATTTGATCAAATAGGAATGGATTTACTGGGGCCCTTTCCACTATCATCTGCCGGCAACAAGTGGATCGTAGTAGCCACCGACTATTTGACGAAGTACGCCGAAACAAAGGCACTAAAACGCGCTACTGCTTCCGACGTCGCCCAATTCTTTATGGACCAGATCGTTCTTCGCCATGGCGCCCCGTCGTGCGTAATCACAGACAGAGGAACAGCATTCACGGCCCAGCTCATTCATGACGTATTCAAGCTCAGCTACACGAGCCATCGCAAGACCACGGCATATCATCCACAGAGCAACGGCTTGACAGAGCGACTCAACAAGACCATCGCTGACATGTTATCTATGTACGTAGATGTCCAGCATAAGACCTGGGACCAGGTGCTACCGTACGTCACATTCGCGTACAATACTGCCGTCCAGGAAACTACTCGATTCACGCCTTTCCGTCTTGTCTATGGACGTGAGGTCCAGACCATGCTGGATGCGATGCTTCCACACAATTGCGATGCTTTGATCACTCCTGATGCTGTGCAGCTTACCCAGTACGCCGAAGAAGCACGCCAGTTAGCACGTCTACACATTACGCACCAGCAGAGTACAGACGCATGCCGCTACAACGCTCGCCATCGACAAGTTGAATACCATCCAGGCGATCAAGTTTGGTTGTGGACTCCAGTTCGATGCAAGGGATTGTCTGAAAAACTGATCAGTCGCTACTTCGGACCATACAAAGTCTTGCGACGCGTGAGCGATGTGAACTACGAGGTAGTCCCTGACGGCGCCTTCTCACCACGACGGCGAAGGCACTCCTCAGAGATCGTCCACGTGGTGCGCCTGAAGCCGTACTTCACGCGGTAGTGCGACTGCGCATGAACCATATCGCTGTTTTTGTGTATGCGCGTATTTTCTGTTGGTTCGCCCCGACTTTGCCTTTGTACTTTCGGAGTATCAGAGTGATGCCTTTTTTTTTTCTCAGAGGGGGAATAATGCCACTTGGCCGCCAGTTACGGCGAGCGCAAGCCATGGCTGCCCGCGAGAATGGAAGACAATGTTCTGGGGCAGCGCGTGCTCTGGCCAGTTGTTTATTTATTGAAGCAGCCATCTTGCCAGTTTTCGGTGCGTTTCCCCGCCGGCTCAGTTCTTCCTAGTTGAAGACCTTTTGTATCACGTGACAGTATGAACGTTAACCTCGTCTTCTTCATACCCGCATCCAATGATTCAGCGCACGCGCATTTTTGCATGCGAAATGCAAGCTTTTATTCCTCCGCCGCAAAACGCAGCCCGTTCCGAGTGTCAGTGCGCGCACGCGTAAAAAGGGCTCCGGCGCAGCGCACCTGAGCGCGACTTCGCCGCTCGGCTCACTGCAGGCGTGCAGCGAATCGCGCCCGATCGTCTGTGACCCGCGACGCCGCCGCAGGCGGGACCGGAGCGTTTCAAGAGCGGCGCCGGCGTTGTTAGCGTTGCGCCGCATTGCGTGCGTGCGTACGCCACACACGGTCGACGCGTTCCGATATGTATCGCGTCGCGAGAGCGCCGCCGACCGCTGGAACTCGCACGAGTGCGCCTCCCATGCGGCGGTAGAGAAAGGCCGGACTTGAGCGGCGACGAAAGGTCGTTCGAGGCGCCGACGAGACCGCAACGAGAGCGGCACGACACGCTTGCCTCGATCGTGGCTCTAATCAGACAAGCCGGTTTATAAGAGAAACTATACGCTGTTTCAAGTCCAATAGTGCTAAGAAAGTAATAACAATGACTTGCAGAAGAGCGGTTCGCTGGGCCGGTTATAGCATACCCCATTTGTGAATGTCACACAGTGTGAATGCTCCTTCGCTTGTTCTTCGCCTCGTTTTGAGTTTTTTATTTGCTAATAATAATTATATATCGGGTTCGACGTGCCAAAACCACGGTTAGGGACGTCGTTCTGGAGGACTCCCAAAATTTCGACCATCTGGTGTTCCTTAGCGTGCATGCACAGCGCACACCACGTGGGCCTTTGCTGTTTTGCTTCCACCGAAATAATGCATTGATGAAACCCGCGAAATTCAGGTCAACAACCGAGAACCCTAACCATCGTCTACAAAGGCGCATGGTGTTAGGAAGTGTTTATGCTTATTCGCTTCTTCTTGTGTTCAAATCCCAATCTACCACATAGTGAACACTTCTCCCTAAATCGCTTAGTCGTGTTAAACAGCTTATTTACGTTCCCTGAGTGACCAGTTTTAGTTAGCGCCGGTAATACGGTTCGTGAATCCAGCAATCAACTAGTCCGTCTAATGGCACTGCTTAAAGACGCAAGATTAAACCGTCGCAGTATGATTCACAATGTCCACGAGTAAATGTACTGACAATATCCAAAGCACTGCGCTGCGACACAAGTTTTATGGTATTGGGGCATCCAGCTGCTGTGTCTGAAACTGGGCTGCGCTCGAAAGGACGTGCGAGACAGCAAACTATCACACGTGTCATGCCGAAACAGCCGCGGCGCTCACATGTCTGTTTTCTAATTGCAGATCGTACGAACTCCATATGTGGAGCACTCTGTGACTGACTGCAGGTGTTATGCAACCGGATTCCGGTAGCCTACGACCGCGTCATTGTGTCTCGCTCCGAATATCAAGTCACGTAAGTTAGGGACAGTTACCTTGGACAAGAAAGCAAGAAAACGAGAATCAGGCATAAATGAATAAAAAAAGCGTGTTATCGTATTGTTATTACAGTTTCGTAAGAACAGATAGCGTAATACCGTAAGACCCTGGGTGATAGACATCAGCTGTTAAAGAAAAAAAAAAAACCTGATGCGGTTGTAGAAAGTGAGCGCGAAAAACAACTTGTGGTTGTCCGTCATATACACTAGAAACAAAAGCCTGTTTGCCGGGTATTGCTTATCCTTTTACGATGAACGTATAAGCATTCGAAATGCCCAACACTAAAGTCTGCTATCTAATCTCCACAGCACAACGGCATTAACTGACGGTCGTTTCAAACGTTATCCCTGTAGCTGTAAACGCTGGTTGCCCTCATTTCAAGATCATTAAGAACGAAACGCAGAGAATGCGAAGGCCGACAACACAGGTGCATGAGCTCCCGGCTGAAGTGCTCGGCACAAGTATGTAGCTGATAGGGTTACGACCAGCGAGAAAGGATTGTCGTTTTGCCCTTCTTTACATCAGGGGCGCAGCAGGAGTGCATTGTCCCGTATTGGCGCTAAGATTTACTACTAACAAGGAACGTACCGCAAGAAAATGCTTGTTTCATTATTAGCGAACGGAACGTCATTTATTCAATCTGTGTGTACATGCTACACGCCGGAAATGTTGTAGGCCCGTGTACTCAGATTTGGGTGCACGTTAAAGAACCCCAGGTGGTCAAAATTTCCGGAGGCCTCCACTACGGCGTCTCTAATAATCAAATGGTGGTTTTGGGACGTTAAACCCCACAAATCAATCAATCAATCAATCAATTACATGCTACACGCTCACGCTTGGCGCAGTTAGTATTTGCTAAACTGTACCATACATTCGGGTGTTAGTGCATACGGCATCGTATTATAGCCATTGCAGCTCCTGTGTGACATGAGTGATTGAATCGCGGAAATATTCTCGTTGCATGTCACTGTGCGTTGTTTGACGTTCGATGACTTTGTCCCTGACAGTGCGTGTGACAACGTGGTGCTTTGAAATACTGTGCCACAGCGTCCACTCATCACACTCTGTTGTTCATCCGTACCTTTCAACTTTTTCGTGACCTTTCATACACCACTTCTACGGCAGGAGTAGTGAACGAGTGTTGCCTTCTCGTTGCCATATTTTCATTTTGTTTGTTCCAGTCTATCTTTCGTTCGTATTTATCTTTCCGTTAATTTTTGTGTGTGTTTGCAGTGCAACGAAGAAAACCGGAGTCATGTAAAACTGTGACGTATATCGCGAATTAATACGGCTTTTGAAGAGTGAATCGATAGCATACGGAAACGGCGCAAATCGACCGACTCACCTGCGGCGCCTGAGTGTTCGGCTTTCCCGCGCTGACGGAAGACGCCGGCCGCGCGCCCAGTAGAGACGCGGCGAGCAGCGTCAGTAGCACGTCAATCACACACGCGCACAGCCTCATCTCGCAGCTCGGGCGATCGGGCGATCCGGGGCCGAATCACTTTCTCGAGTCACACCACTCTCACCAACCGACAATCACCGCACTCGACGACCCATCGAGAAGATCACCCCGTCCCCGTCCCTGGGAGAGTGTCTTTCCCGCAAGAAGATGCGAGTCTGAAGGAGCTACACGGAGAAGCGAAACTGCAGTCAGGGAGGATGCGGAGCGCAGTCTTGCGGGCTGCAGCCTGCCGCTGCGAGATAGTCTTTCGCTGGAGACGTGTCAAGACCTCTCGACACTTAGTCGCCGTATTCTGTCGTCGGACGATGAAGAGCGAACGCAGCAAGCGCGACTGACAAACGCGACTGGCAGTTAGAGGCACTGCAGGATGCATCAGTGGTCATCGCAGTTATCGCGCTGCTGCTGCTATTAACTAGACGACGCCTTCTCGACTCATCGGTCGAACGATCATCGCGCACCGGCGTGCACGTAGCTGTAATCGAAGTGGCGGACGTGGTTTACGCTTCACCTACGCAGTGGCTGCGGTCTTCGGGTACACTGTACCAGGGAGGTGTTTCGGCAGCCCCCGTTCGGACTCGCCTACTACGCTCGCCTCACACTGCTGCCGACTGCGCCTGTTTGACTGCTCGACACTAACGCCGAACCGACCGACCGAACGGCGCGCCGCACTCTTTCTTTAACCCTTGCGGCTGAGCGCGTGGTGGGCAAGAGGAGGAGGGAGATGAACCACTCCTCTCCTTCACTCGGCACTCTCTTTTCGCTAGGAGCGTTGCGGGGTTGACAGAGTCACCCTCCTCTCCGAGTACTGCCGGGCTCTCTTTCCGCTTCGCTCTCTCCGGAGTCAAAAAAGAAGGTCAGAAAGCCGCGAGAAAGGCTGTGCTTCCTGGCGAGAGATAAAGTCGTTGCGGTGAAGCCCGCTTTACGTTTACCGCCGTGTGCACCCACGTTTTTTTTTTTTTCTCCTGATAACGGGAGACCCTGGGTGAGATTTAGGTTAAATAAATATATGTATTCCCCGTGTATCAATAAACACAGTACAGGTGCTACACCTGGCCATTAAAGGTACTCGCGCGAGACTCCTACATGATTCGGCAAGCAGTAACAACAGTTACAAAAGACTACAAAAAACTATGTACAGATATTTAAAAACGCGTGAGTTAACTACACAGAGAATAATGGCAGACAAAATTATCATTTATTCAATGGTAACGCTTACACACTGCGTACATGAACCACTTCATGTCTACGGGAAAATCGTGTGATGCTTTCGCACCAGTGGGCTGTAGACTTTGCATATGCTACCCCACGTGAGAAATGCGTTAAAAGGTGTCGCGACACCAATATAGCGTGCGGGAAATAGTGAGCACGCCGCGACGCGCCATAAAACGCAATTCATAAAACACGTCGCGCAACAAGCATGCAACTCGCGCGCGTACTCGGAGTAATTGAGACGTCTGGTTGAGACATGCTATATCCTCCGGAACGTGCAGGAAGAACTCGTTTACGGATTATAGTCTTGTTGCCGAAACCAGGGTTATTTAGTTAATATCACGCATGAATTGAATGTATTTGTGACATTACATGAAATTCTTGCACATTTGTAGTTTGCCAGGTCATAATGAGTCACATTTATCCTTACTTATATCATCATCATCATCATCATCATCATCATCATCGTCGTCGTCGTCGTCCTCATCAGCCTGACTACGTCAACTGCAGGACAAAGGCCTCTCCCATGTTCCGCCAGTCAACTCGGTCTTGTGCTTGCTGCTGCCATTTTATACCCACAAACTTCTTAAGCTCATCTGCCCGTCTAACCTTCTGTCTCCCCCTAACCCACTTGCGTTCTCCGGGAATCCAGTTAGTTACCCTTAATGACCAGCGGTTATCCTGTCTACGTACTATATCCCCGGCCCATGTTCATTTTCTCTTCTTGATTTCTACTATGATATCCTTAACCTCGGTTTGTTCCCTGATCCACTCTGCTCTTTTCTTGTCTCTTAAGGTTGCACCTACCATTTTCCTCTCCATTGCTCGCTGAGTCGTTCTCAATTTGGGCTGAACCCTATTTGTAAGTCTCCAAGTCTCTGCTCCGTAACTAAGTACATAAGTACTTAGCTACGCAGCACCTATAACTACCTGATTGCTTAAGTACCTAAGTATACCTATAATACACGCTTACTTATATAAGTACCTAAATTTACTTACGCGGAGCATAAACACCGTAGATATTGAAGAACAAATATGTACGCCGTTCTAAGTAAAATCTAAAATTAATAACACGCGTTGTTTTTATTCATAACCTAACCTACGACGCCGGTGCACTTGATGTCGCAGCTAAAAGGTTGCCGTCGATAGAGATTCAAGAACTTTCGAAGAAGGATGTGATGCTCGTACTTGTAGCTGCGATTAAGAGCATCTGTTGTCGAGTAGACCGACAGGACTCTGTTGGTTGACGGATAAGTTGCGCTTTTCACAAGTCTCAAATTGTGTAACGATCGCCCGAAACTCGGAAATTTGATACTCGTGGCACTAACTATACAAGTCAAGTCAAGTTTATTAAATTGTTCAGTTGAGTTACATGGTTAGCGTTATTACAGCAGGAGGTCCCAAAGTTTCAGAGAAACTGACAGGAAGACCTCCTGTGGCTACATGGATGGGGTAATTACAAAAAATACAGCAACAGTATAAGGACTTGTGAGTAATAATGAATAATCTTAATTAACAACAAAAAATACGATCACTACACAACATAATGGTAATACTCACTATTGGAGAATAACAAGCAAATAGTCAAAAGCAAGTGAAGACAAAAAACAATATTAATGAACTCTACGTGACAAATGCAACACGTTTCATTATCAGTGTTATCAATTATAAATTACAAGAAAAACATTATTCGATAGTCGGGCATGCTGTTAGTTGACTGAGGATTTGCTTTTGTCTGTTTTTATAGGTCGTTCGAAGTGTTACGTTTTCGTGCGTTTAACGCGTCCCGGTTTGCATTGTGTGCTCTCGCTCAGACGTGCGTGGCCGTGCACGCGCTGGAATTTCAGCCGCGAACAATCGCCACTGTGTCGTCACGATCGGCGTGATTGACTGCCGTGGGGTGCAGTCTATAGGGGCTCAGTCACTCGCCGTGCTGCCCGTTCCCTGGCGCTGTAACAATGAGCCGTTTTGTCTGTTGATGCGCTTAAAGCAGTTAGCAAGCTGGGGTATGGGGGTGTTGCCTGGCGTTGATATCATTTATATCACTAGGTGGTGTAGCACTACTATACTATACATCTTTCAATCTCTGGGATATTAATGCCCCTGCAATAATTAAAACCTCGAGAACTGAAGAACTATTTCTAGTATTGTTTCAGCCTTATCGATAACTACATAGTTTCTAGCAAGGATATAAATAATGACAATATCTGCAGGTTCTTAAATACGTCCCAAAGCCACAATATGATTATGAGAAACGCCGTAGTGGAGGGCTCCGGAAATTTCGACCACCTGGTGTTCACGAGATGGTATACAGTACTTTAAAAACAATGCTTTAGGTCAGTCTTGCCTTTACAGCTCACAAACATATTTATTTAGAAAATTTTAAAATTGTCGGATTAAGGCATTCATGTGATGGCCGCCGCAAGATATAGTGCGCGGGCTGCACGCGTTTTTGGGATCCCCACGCCGTTGCGTGTTCGTGCTGTTGCAACCCACGCGGTTACACCTATAGTCGTAACAGGTCGCGCATTCTTCGCTAAAATTTACAACCGCAAGTTACATCACTGTCGTGTTTACGCACCAGGACAATATGGACGCGACGTAAAAAGCGCCACTTTACTGTGTCCTATACTTCGAGCGTTAATGCCCCAAAATAAAATTCGCCACGTGTACGTTGGTATAGCCGTCAGGTGATGATGCTCAGAGACTCTTCGAGGCCTTTTCTCGGCGTTTTCTGCGCTCCATTTGGGAGTCTGTGAGCGACCGGAGACGCGTATTGAATCCCGCCCGTATATCATGTCCCATATATGTCTTCGGTTCCCGCTCTTTGTCGACTTTTTTGGGGGGGTTCGTCTCTGAATTTCTTGTGATGAAAATGCGTCCCGATGGTATAGCATGGAAGAACTTTATTGAGGTCCGTCGGAACGTCTCGTCGTGGAATAGAACCGCGGTAAGGAAGTGCCTCTTTTGAAAGCTCTTCACCCGACGAATGTTCTCAATGTCTTCTGTCGATCTACTTAATGTCTTAACGTGACCCTCCGAGCTGCTGCAACGATGGTGCAACGAGGAAAGAAACTTTGATGCGTGTAAAGGAAAGACTCCGATTGTTTGCGAGAATACAAGAAATGTTCCGCAGGAGGAAATTGTGACGCATTGCGCACTCTATAGCTTCTTTCAAAAACTTTATTCTAAATTGATAGCCTTTTTTGTATACGTTGCATAGAATAAGTGAATGAACATTGTGGATTGAGAAGGACATGTCTTGAAAATCATGAACAGAGAGAGGTATCAGTTACAGGCGGGGGGCGGGAGGGAAGGGGGTGTGCCAGTGACGGTGCTGGTTATCTTATTTAAAAAAAAACATTAAATATGTGTTCCAGTGATACAGATGTCGCGTCTGGTTAGCGTCAACTGTAGTTAAGCGCCATCCATGGAAGTTGGTCTACGTAGCAATAATTAGGGCTGCCATCCTCGCTCATATTAGCTTACCGCTCCTGGTGTTGGTAATACAAGTTGCTTTTCGCATTGTTATGCAGCCGTTAATAACGGGTTATATAAAATATACGTGGCTTTTCAACGTGCATATCTCTGCGTACAACGTTTGTATACATATGTTTAGCGTCATTTCGTAACGTATCGTTGAACAACAACAACAAAAAAACTGAACAAAAGAATATTACACCACAGCCATGTTGCCTCCGCGTGCTTAGCATGACATCAAATTCCATGGTGTACGTGAGATCTTGTCGTCGTCGTCGTCGTCGTCGTCGTCGTCGTCGTCGTCGTCGTCGTCGTCGTCGTTGTTG